CTTCCATGCTTGCAGTTGTCTTCTCCGGCCATTTATTTTAAAGGATGAACAATTGAACAGGTTGTTGCTTTTTTAATTGCAAAGAGGTTGGTGGGAAGTAAACCTTTAAATGCATATTGGCGCTTAACTTTTTTCTCCCATCATAACATGCATTTAGGCGCCTAAATCCAATTACTTCCCCCCATCCCCCCCCCCCCCCCAATTTTCCCTCTCTCTTTTTGGCTTGCAGTGAGGTGGCAGCTACCCATGGAAGTGTATGTTGACCCCATATACACTGGGTTTATGTGTAGCATCTCTTTGAATAAATCTAGCACCCATTAATCTTAAATGTTGAACACTAACTTTCTAAATTTAGTGGTTTGTTTTTTTTTTTTTTTTAATTATCAAATTTACAAATTTATAGTGATTTGGGACATCGCCCAAACCTATAACTAGGGCTGGCAAACCCTGACCCGACACGAAAACCCGACCCGAACCCGACCCGAAGTTAATGAGAGAGACCCGAACCCGACCTGAACCGAACCCGAACAACCCGAATTCGACCCGATTTGACCCAAATTTCATATTTCGTAATAATATTAAGTTTTACACTATTTTTAATAGTTTCTAAGCATAACCCGAAATCGACCCGAAATCTGACCCGAACCCGACCTGCTGACCCGAATTGCCACCCCTACCTATAACTAGTTTTATATTATTAGTGATCAATAATAGCTTCTCATCCTGCATCTAAGTAATACTTATAGCTTTTAAATGTGAACTTATTGTAATTGTGAATTAAAATTTATTATTATACCAAGTTAACTTATCTAAACATATTGACCCTTAATGTACATGAGAAATAAACTTACCTGAATTATCCGTACTATCAAATATGGACACGTGATAATTTTGTTTTGTAGTAATACATCATTTTCTATTCATTCAAGACATCAGTGCAGTTTCCAACTATCCTAATTCTACACCTTCCCATACAGAATACGAATTTTAAGCCAATAATTTAGCTCGTATGATTGAAAAAGTTAAAAACAAAAATCACGTCTCATAATTGTTTACTCTCATGTAAAGTGAATACCCTTTAAAAATTCTTAGAACCGAAACCGGAATCTGTTGCAATAGGTTCCTTAAAATGAGAAACGGAATCGAAATCTGTTAAACAAGATCCTGAAAATTGGGAACCGAATATACTAACTTGTTCCTGATTTTTTTAATAAAAAAATTAATTGGTCACTAATTTATAATGTTTACCACTCGCAAAATAAACAAACTAATAGTAGTTGTCTACAAATTTAATACGTGATTTATATTTATAATTGTAATTTTGATATTTATTATTTAAAAAATAATTTAGAATTGGTGTATAGTTTAAAATTAAGTGATACTTTTAACAGGTTACAAGGTACCCTACAGGTTCCGGTTCCAAAAAATTGAGAACCTAAACTGAAACCTGTTGCAATAGGTTCTCCATTTTACTATCCGAAACCGGAATCTCTTGTACAGATTTCGATTTCGATTCCGATTCCAATTTAGGATACCCTGATTTTTTGCTCAGCCCCACTCTCATGTAATGTTTGTTGTCACTCTTGTAAAGTTATAAGCTTTGTCGTTTTTCTCGAGTAGTACTACTTCTACTTTGAATCATAGTAAGTGGCACGATTTATTTCACTTTGGAAGCTGCAGCTTGTACTTTATAACAGAAAACACTTTCAATTTCAAGCTCTTTCTACCCTACATGGTTAGTAGGAGTAAAGTCACAATAAACTCTACCGGATAACTACCTCCATTTCATTTTATTATGCTATTCCCTCCGTTACATAACTACATGCCTATTTTTCATTTTTTATGGGAATTAAGGAAGTTGGAGAATCTTTAAAACACATGATTGGGAAGTACAAATATGTATGTAGGGTTAGCGAGAGATAGAGAAAAAATGAAAAGGTAGTTAGTAATTACTTAAGAGAGGGAGAGAAAAAGTGTTGAAAATGATGTCAAAAGTAAAAAAGAAAAATGATGACAACTCATCAAAAAGAGTGGAATGTTGTCAAAAAGTACATTCATTAAATAGAAATAGGCATGTAGTTTTGGTTACCCCGAAATGGAATACAAGGATGTAGTTATGTGACGGAGGGAGTAACATAATATAGCACCCATTTACCATATTTTATAAATAATTTTTACTCCTCTGTTTTGTAATAACCACAATAATCGACTATGTATAAAGTCTTAGGAGAATCATAGGATGGATAGAGTGAAGGATAGCTCAAGTAATTATTGCTTCTCTCCACATTCTATAGGAGATCCTGTGATTGAAAAGTCATAAGGTGAAGACAAAAAAAGAATTTTTATAATATAATAAAATATTGTTAGTAGAAGGAAGAAATAACAAATAATTAAAAAAAAAAAAAGGGTAGCTTGTTAGTGAGGATGATATGATATCGAAATAATAAATTAATTGTGAAAGTTGGAGTTAGTAAGAGTGAAATAATAAAATAGCAATAAGTCCTTAGTAAATGAACATACTCTCTATAGAAGAAAAATACTCTATTAAATTATTACGTATGTATTACGAAATAGACAGAGTATTTTGTAATTTCTATTGGCAGTTTAACTTTAGATTGACGAAAATAAAAGAGGTAGGGGTCAAAAACTCAAAACATCTAAAAGTTGATGTACCTATCAACAATTTGCATTGTGACAAAGACTTGCTAAATATAGCAAAGCACATCCATGTGAAAACTGAAAACCCTATGATATACTCTAATCGCTTAGACTTGGATATAGTTCGTACTAAGTACTAACAAGTGAACAAGCAACAAGCCAACCAAATTTGTCACTGTACTCAAGGGATGAATCTACGGCCTAAAAAGAGCTTGATTTACAAATTACAACATGAGTAATGGTGCCCACAACCCATCCATGGGTCAACTATGACATTATCGATCGGTTTTATCTCTATTATTATATTCCGCACCAAATATGGAGAATGTACTTCGTATATGAAGTTAATTTTTTTTGTAACTATGCGCTATCATTCTTTTTGGTCCATATATACGGAGTCAGTACTCCTATCACAGATTGATTTATGGAATTAATTCATTAAACCTTCTATGAATTTGTAATAGTTCTACCTTAATTTTGTGGTCTTGTTATCTTGTAGCTTATCTTTTATACCCGAGCATCCAGTCAATCTATCTACGAATGATGAAGGGATAAACTGTGGTGACAAAGGATCGATTAAAGCGAAAATCAGCAGATGAATGTGGGTGATGCTTAATACAAACCCAATCTATTGACATCGCTATATACAACAAGCATTATCATACGGAGTACATAGTAGGATTAGTTATTTAAACCATACATAATGTTTTGCAAATACATTAGGTCATTTCTAAGTTATGCAAAGAACAAGAGAGGGGGAAGTTCAAAAATAACACAGCTGTTGCCTTAGTACTTGTACACAAGTTCCAACTAGGCATTTGGTGCGAGATGCCAAATCCATGAGCCAACAAACTCACAATAGTTCTAGTTTTATACCTCGTTTATCTTTTAAAATTGCTTTGTCCACACCACAATACTAAGAAACATACTGGTATTTTGACATGAGTACAACATTCACAGGACGTTTGTTACACGAGAGTAGGAGTTAAGGGATTCGAGAGTGGGAAATGGATTGAGAATTTAATAAAATATTGATCGTCGTTTGTTTGGTTGGTGATGAGGATTGATTGGGAATAAGTATCAAGTTGTAATTACACTCATACTAATTTTATATCTTTTTACATTAATTAGTGGCAAAATAGGTCTCAAGTATCAATTAACTTAGGAAGGTCTTAACTTTAGGGGAGTCCTCAAAATAGTCCCTAACATGTTTTGTCCGGTTTGATAGGTTAATAATTCCACATGTCTTGTTTTCATTAGTTGTAGTTAAAAATAAAAATCATCCTCCAAAACCCACCCCCTCCCTTTAGGCCTTGTTTTGTTCACCATTAAACAATATAATTCAGAAAAACAAACCACTAAATATTCAACACATGGTAATTTAACCGGTTTACCCGATCATAATTAGTTAGGGATTGTTTTAAGGACCCCAAAAATTAAGACCGTCATGAGTTAATTAAAAATTAGGACTTTTTTTTTAAGAAAAAAAATGTTCATAGTTAGGACGGGTAGTAATATAAATTCTCTATAAAAATTAAAACTCATAACTATTACCATACTCTCCTTCTCATAAACCAGCAAGTGTGACCTAGACCCATCTTACGATTAAATAATACCTAATAGAGCAGCTCCACAATACAAACAATGAAGATTGCTACTTATAATTAATGAGAAATCTACCTACATAGAACACACTGGTTTTTTTAAAACTTACAATATTTTTTTAATGCTTGTATGTATAAAACTTTGACTATATATAATTTTATTTGTTAGAACTGTAAAAAGTTAATACTTCAAAAATACATGTTAAGACGAATCTAATATGATCCTCATAAATACATTTTACCAAATTTCAATAGATATCAGGAAGTCACAATAGAAAGGGTAAGAAGTTTTGGGCAGACAAAATTTCAACCAAAACATTAAAATGCACAATATGGTATCTTTCTGGTAGATAGTAGCCATCCAAAATATAAATGCTCAAAACACACACATTAATGGACATGTGTGGCTTGGCAAGCTTAATCATCAATTTATCATAGTTAGTAATAACTAAAGTATTCATATTATGTAAGCAAAAAATTAACAAGTCATATGTTATTAATATAGCTCCTCTTGTACATTGCATATGCACTAAATTGCTAACTTCATTCACCTAAATCAAAATAATTAGTGAAATTGTGGGCTTTGACAAAAAAAATCTTCATTTATTTAATAGGATATGGCCAACTTTTGCTGTGGGCCCATAAATTGTACTGTACCGAAACACATGGGCCCATGTCCCAAAACCTTATTCCTATTTGTGTTAATTATGTCATTATCATCCACTTCCTTTATAAACAACCCTTTTGCACCATATGAGTCATAATAATCTACAAGTGCAACCCCTAGCATAAGCAAGAAGAGTATAGCACAATAGCTTTGTGGTGATAACAATGTCATCGAGTCGAATATTGTTAGCATCGCGATGTGCTACTGAAGATGAGATTAGTGAACTAGTCTTCAAACTGCAAGCATTGCTACCAGAGAGAAGGCGTCAGCATTTAAGGAGGGTATGTAAAGAAACCTACCCAAACCTCATTTCTAAGCTTATTGTGTCTGAAAATGCATGAAACCTATTGTTTTCACTATCTCAAAAAGAATTTTGTTTTGTCGAGCTTCCAATCGTTTTAGTATTCTAGCTACTACAAAAAACATAACAGGCCATTCTTCCTCTTCATGCAACCATAAACAATCACAACAACAATAACGATAATTACAAATGGCCTTAAGAATGTACAATGGCTTTATGCCTTGTGTTAGCAACGACGTACTACGTTTAACCTTTAGTCTAACTATATATGTTTATCGTCGACTTTCGTCATAGAATACAATAAAAGTACTACATGCACATACATGATGCAGATGTGTATATAGTTCATTCTTGATTTCTTGTGCTGATTAATGATAACATTTTGATAATCTGTATGTTAAGGTTTCAAGAGACGAAGTTCTGGAAGAAGTATGCAGCTACATCAGGAAACTTCACAAACAAGTAGACGACACGAGTGAAAGAATTTCACAGTTGCTGGCTTCTGCAGACCTTGATGCAGATGTTCTTAGATCCCTCTTGCAGCAATAATCCCTCCTCCAGTCCTCCTCCCTCTTTGTTGGTGTAATTTATAAATTGTTGGTGTAATTAAAGACAATATTATACCTATGTAACCTTAATTGAAGTACAGAAACATATTAAAACGAAAGAAAACTGGACTTTTGTACATTTGTCTTGTTCTTAGTAAACATGACAGTACATGCTTAAAATATAGGTCGGGACATTCGGTTTTAAGAATAGTCTATAGAAATGTATGTTAAGTTGATTATATAAAGTCCACCAAATATATTAATATCCTGATTATCAATCAGTTTTTAGATATCAATCTATAAATCTGTAAGACTTCTCCAATAAAAAAAAACTTTAAAACTTTAGTCAACCAGATACCTTAACTAATCAAGTCTTAATAGGGAGAGTGCAAAAGACTTCAGATCAATTCGCCACATCTACTTGTTATTACCATGATACAATTTTTTTTTTTTTTTTTTTTTTTTTTTTGTAAATAGTTCTACTATGGTACATTACTACTCAGTCTTCAACTATGACTTGTTAGTTTCCTTCAAAAAAAAAACAATGACTTGTTAGTTTGGTGACGCACGAGGTTATAAATACCAATTAACGAAAAGCAAAGCAGCTTGTCGAAATTTCTCATATTACGCACGAGGTACATTACTAATCAGTCATGTGAATATTATAAGATTCATCTCAATGTGTTATAATATCAACTTTTCATACTTTTTGTTAATACAATAATACATAATTAAAGATATTGATGAATAAAAAAAAACATCTCAAAAGACCGCACAGATATAGGGAGTAAAAAATCTATTTTGCAGCAAATTCTACAATAATTCTAATGACAGAATAGGGTACAATAATTCTAATGACAGAATAGGGTAATAAGATTATAAGACGACATAGACTACAAAAAATGGACTTCTACATGATCAAATTATTCACTAATCCTAAGGATACTTATCCTGAAGCAAAATCCCAAAGAGAGAAGCATTAACAGATAACAGAACCGTGAAAGATGCAATATAGCAAGGAGACCTTAAAAAGGACCAGCCACAGTATAGAAACTATACCGTCAAAGAAGCATAGCCATACTTACTACAGCTATGTTCAACAAAAATAGAACCAACATGAAAAAGTATTTGCTCATTAGATCTGTCACGTATGTTGATCAGAAAAGCTCACTTAACACTGGTTATATTTCACAACTCCAGAGCAAGTCACAACATCAGGCCTTCTATAGAAATTCCAAAGCTTCCAAAATGACCAGAAGTTGAAGATGTTCCAAAATTACATGGCAGCTGCTGGAATGACCTAACTGCAGATCGGAGTGTAATTATAAATGTGGAAATGCTTCATTAATTATGGGAATTACTGATAGTGAATTCATATGAGTGAAGGCATGAAGCAGTTCTCAAGAGAAAAGGGTGTTGTCTTTTTGAAGGATCGAGATGCATTGCAGAATATTAAATACAAACAACGCTTTCAGGAAATTAAAACAGTTTGAGGTACATAAGATGTAAGAATTCCAAGTCTTTAAACAAAACACCGAGTAACTTCTCATGGATCATATTATACAAAGGCAACTAGAGTCACAGTCACTAGTCATCTTACCACATAAATTTTTAAAAGATGTGTACAAGTGAAATACAAGCCAATCCAATTCCTGAGCATAATCTGAAAACATTAATGAACTCATGAAGTGAAATACAAGTCATCTCTGTTGCGTGATCCAAAAGTATCTCATATTAGAAAGTGAAATCATGAAGTCACAAGATCCCTCAAAAGGAATAAAAATCACCTCCACACATCTCATCACTATATTCTATAGCGAAAATGGCAACCAATAAAACAATGTTTAAGCCCAACCTTCTCCCTCATTCTTCCAATTTCTCAGCCTATACCCCCAATCAAATCGGTCCAGCCCCATTTGTCTACTCCAACACTCATTACTCCACCAATGTTTAAGCCCAACGTTCCTTCTCCCTCATTCTTCCAAACTCAAATTTGACTTCACTCAATCAAGACCCACTTCTCCTACCAAACTTCTGCTATCTGAATTCTACAGCCTGGCAGTTTCCTGCAACCTCCAAGAACACTTCACCATAGCTTTGCCAGCAAGGAAAGCAAGAGGCCTTACCAATGAGGCATTGGAAGGACAATGGACGCCAAGCATCTGTTGCAAAAATGTCATTGTTCATCTCTGCCAAGGTTGGGAACTTAGCGCTAGTTACTATCAACAACCAAATTCCACTTACTACTATTCTGCAACTAACTCACAAGGCTAAAGCACAACACAATCTCACTCCGGGTCATCTAATAGCTCCCAAGATCATGACACTAGATTCTTAAGAGACATTAGGAGAAATAACCACTGAGGAGCTCAATAGGTTATGGAAGCCGGGCATCAAGGATGATAGTGACCATCATTGTTGAGGCCGGATACTAAGTGCTGATTTTAAACCACCTTGAGGACAAGGTGGAAGTTTAGGGGGCCAATATTGTTGATGTAAAAAATAGATAAATGAAAGCAAAAGATAAAGCTTAACAAATAATAAACTGATATTGCTTCTTCATAATTCTACATGATAAAAAACTGAAGTACAAAAGAAATTCTATCATTTAAATAGGCTTAACACTAAGCACAACTACTTCCTAATATTAAGGCCCACTAATGACAAACTACCACTCAAATTGGAGAAGCATACTCCACGTACTACCACTAACAATTCTTATCAACTAAATAACAAATTCAATTGACTCCTAAGATTAAGCCACTAACTACCTGAGGAATAGGAAACAATAACCACTAATTATTTTGAAGCAATACACCAACAAAGGGTGAGAATTACCATCTATGAAGTCTCAACATGAGGACTTTGTTTAAATCTCAAGAGTTATGGGACATTGTGGAGCAAGGGTATGAAGAGCTGGAGGAGGTTCCGACTACACCGGATCAAAAGTTGCGAGAAAATCGTAAGAAAGATGCAAAGGCTCTATTGTTCATCCAATCGACATTGGATGATGAGATTTTCCCTAGAATTTTCGCTACATCTTGCTCCAAGCAAGCATGAGAGATCATCAAACAAGAGTATTTTGGTGATAAGAAGGTAATTATTGTAAAATTAACTCTTCGTACACAATTTGAGAGTTTAACAATGACAAATAAAGGATCTATGCAAGATTATTTGTCTAAAGTGTCCTCAATCATTAGTTAAATGAAAATATATGGTGATTATATCTCAAATGAGACAATCGTGGGCAAGGTATTAAGGAGTTTGAACATTGATTATAAGCATATTATGACTGCAATTTTAGAGTCTAAGGACATCAACTTATACATTTGATGAGTTGATGAGTTCTTTGATGGCTCATGAGGAGAGAATGGATAAGTGTGCTAATGAAAATGTCGAAGAGAAAGCCTTTCAAGTTAGAGGAAAATTGTCGGATGATTGGCATTATGATGAAGGTCGTGGTCGTGGTCGCGGTATGGGTAGTCATGATGGAAGTGGTCATGGTTATGGTCGAGGTCGTGAAGAAAGTGGTGGTTGTGGTCGAATTGAAGGACGTCAATCTATGTTGAGTAGCGTTCAATGTTACTATTGCAAAAGGTATGGTCATAAAGAAGACCGTTGTTGGGATAAACAAAGAGATGAGCAAGGTGAACAATCTAACTATGCTAAAAAAGGTCGAAGAGGAAGAGACTAGGCTATTCTAAAATCTAGTGTCGTGGTTGTGTCGTGAAAGTTGGGGTTGAGGTACCTTGAGTGTCAAGATCGTTAAAGCGTGTCGAGTTCAAGTCGAAGTCCATCGTCGCAATATGGCTGTTAAAGTAAAGAAGTTGCATGTGGCTTTGAAACAAGGGGGTGTGTTGGTGTATTGCTTCAAAATAATTAGTGGTTATTGTTTCCTATTCCTTAGGTAGTTAGTGGCTTAATCTTAGGAGTCAATTGAATTTGTTATTTAGTTGATGAAAACTGTTAGTGGTAGTACGTGGAGCATGCTTCTCCAGTTTGAGTGATAGTTTGTCATTAGTGGACCTTAATATTAGGAAGTAGTTGTGCTTAGTGTTAGCCTATTTAAATGATAGAATTTCTTTTGTACTTCAGTTTTTATCACGTAGAATTATGAAGAAGCAATATCAGTTTATTATTTGTTAAGCTTTATCCGATCTAATCCAAGTTCGATTCTAAGAAAAAAAAAAAAAAAAAAACACATACACACATACACATTAAAAAAAAAAAATGTCGTGAGTGAAACAAGGAACACCGTCTTATTTCATTAGTGTTTGTCGTAGTATTATTCGAGTAAGTTTTGTGAGTGAGTAAGCATGACAAATGGTTGTATAAACTCGTCGTCGCAACCCTTAATTCCAGTTTTTAAGGGTGAGAATTATCATCTATGAAGTCTCAACATGAAGACTTTGTTCATGTCCCGAGAGTTATGGGAATTGGTGGAGTACAGTTATGATGAGCCGAACCCGGCACTGGCTATTCCCGATCAACATTTACGGGAAAATCGCAAGAAAGATGCAAAGGCTTTATTGTTTATTCAATTGGCAATTCGGCATTGGAGGATAAGGTTTTTCAATGAATTTCCGCTGCGTCAACATCCAAGCAAGCATGGGAAATTTTGAAGCAGGAATATTTTGGAGATAAGAAGGTAATAGCTGTCAAATTACAAACACTTCGTAGTAGCTTTGGAAGTTTGGCAATGCAAGATAAATTTTTTTTTTATCTAGAGTATCAGGAATTTATGGTGATACTATCACCAATGAAACAATTGTGAGTAAGATGTTGAGAGCTCTTAACAAAGTAAATAATTATAAGCATGTTGTCACTGCAATATTGGAAATCTAAGGACTTGTCAACTTATACATTTGATGAGTTGATGAGTTCTTTGTTGGCTCATGAAAAAAGAATTGATATGAGTAATGATGAAGGAGAAGAAAAGGCATTCCAAGTGCAGGCTGGGATGATGGTCAAGGTAGGGGTGGCTTTGGTGGTCGCAATCGTGGTCGTAGCATATGATGGTGGTCAAGGTAGGGGTGGCTTTGGTGGTCGCAATCGTGGTCGTGGTTATGGTCGTGGTGGTGTTGGTCCAGACCGTGGTCGAGAAGAAAGTGGAGGACATGGTCAATCCGCAAGAAATATGAGTAATGTTCAATGTTACTATTGCAAAAGGTATGGTCACAAAGAAGACCGTTGTTGGGATAAATAAAGAGATGAGCAAGGTGAACAATCTGACTATGCTCAAAAGGTCGAAGAGGAAGAGACTAGGCTCTTCTAAAATCTAGCGTCGTGAAAGTCGGGGTTGAGGTACCTTGAGTGTCAAGATCGTTAAAGCGTGTCGAGTTCAAGTCGAAGTCCATCGTCGCAATATGGCTGTTGAAGTTAAGAAGTTGCATGTGGCTTTGAAGCAAGGGGGTGTGTTGGTGTATTGCTTCAAAATAATTAGTGGTTATTGTTTCCTATTCCTTAGGTAGTTAGTGGCTTAATCTTAGGAGTCAGTTGAATTTGTTATTTAGTTGATAAAAATTGTTCCCGCTGCCAGCCTGGATACAGGAGGAGGGTTTCGGTAGGCAGTGACAGCTAGTGTAAAACTTTGTCATATCCCATGACATGCCAAACCGATATTTAAAACTTTGATTGATTGAGTTGATAAAAACTATTAGTGGTAGTACGTGGAGTATGCTTCTCCAATGTG